TGCAGAATCACTCCAGCATCCCCTTAAGGCCGACCTATTTGCGCGCGGGTACGCGAAGCGTCGATATACCACTTTGTTCATTTTTTTTTATATTTGCCTCCTTCGCCGCTTTCGCTCTAAATATACCCGAAGTGCCGTCCGCTCGCTCTAGCACGCCCTCCGAGCGTTTCATCGGACATACATTGCGCTCTGAGTGAACGTTTGATTACATCAGATACTGCACCAGCGTAATTTTATATGATTAGATAACTCAGCGGGGGAAAAATGTGTAATAATCATCGCTATCGATCGACTTCATTCCGATTATCCTCGGGCAGCCTCGAGTTCATCATTCGCTCGTACTTTTCTCAGCGCAACTAATTGAATTGTTTGCTCCGAAACAAGTAGACACGCGATTCGTATTGAAACGTATTAATTTTAACGTGTATTTTACCGCAATCAATTTTAGAACTTTACTTTTCGAATAAACAGAACGTGCGAGCTCTTTTAGCTCGTATAATAAAATATTTGGGAATTTTAAAAACAAATATTTAAACAAGATACATTTTTTCGTAAAATTAAGCAAGTTTAGCCTCGCACTTCGCACTGAAGTTTACTAGACTTCAATCGGTATTTCTATATCTCTTCTATATTTTCATCTGACGATGCTACCTGCACGCTCATTCTTACCGGTTTGCCGGAGTCATTATACTACTAGATCAGCAAAAGAAACTTGAGACCACGGTGCGAGGTGGAAGGCGAATAAAAACAAACGTGAGAATCGATGTTTACCTGCCAAACAACGGATGCCATAGCTGCGACTCGTCCGGCGAGCTCGCGGTAGAGCTCACTTCCGGTTCCTGCTTCAGCAGCCCACTGCGCACTCTAAGCAAGGACGAATAGGGGTTGACGCGCGATCGGCCGCCGTTCGATAGGTCTATAGGCTGCATCGGCATCAGCGTGCAGATCGGCTTGCAGCTGAGTTTGGGCCTGCCGGTGACAATGTTGCCGGAGAGTCCGCTGCTCCTCGCGCCATTACCGCTCGTCGTGCCGGACGTTCCTTTGTTAATGGCGCCGTTGACCGGTGCTTTAGGTTGCTGCGGTGGCGAGTGCCGCGACCTGGAGACTGGGCCTTCGCCGTGGTCCAGTACATGCTGCAGATGTGCCAGCGATATCACGAGCAGATCGGGATCCCGGAGAAGGTCGGGCCTGGTGAGGGCCTCGGGTAGCCTGAGCTCGGGCCTGCTGGCCAGTAACTTGGGTATTTCTGTCGCCGGGGCGGCAGCCAGACCTGGCAGATAGTCGCGAGGTACTAGGAGAGGATCGGGGATCAGGTGGCCGACAGTCTCGACCAGTTCGCGGAGCTGTCTGGCCGGATCCAAGAACTTGTCCGTGCTGCTGGACGTGGGACAGGCGATCTGGTCCTGATCGGTCAAGTGGCCCCTCGTTTTACCAACGGCTTTTTGGTAATAGGCGGCTTGGCTCTTTTGCCGTTGCCCGACCGCCGACTGCCACTCGGCAGACATCGGTCTCTTGGGTGCGGCGCGTTGTTCCGTCGTCGCGTAAAAGGTACTGTGGATGTCGCCGCTGGACATTGGCCTGCCCGAGTTCCTCGCCTCCTGACTGTGAACGTTCAGACGTTCCTGGAAGCTGCGCTGATTAGTCCTTCTCGCGTTCCTATCGGCGCTCGAGTGCACGGGTCGAGAAACGGGCTGATCGACGCTCTGATCGGACCGGATCGGCACGATCTCTTTCGCCCTCTCGTAGTCCCGCGGATCCGCGCAGCTGGACGAGGCCAAGATGCTCTTTAACGTCAGTTCGCTCTTGGCGTCCTCCGAGCAGGTCACCGAACACGGCGGACTAGGGAGTAGCCTCTCGAGATACGCCGACGACGGTCTCCTGGACGCGGGAGAACAGGGAATGCCGCTGGGCTGCGGCGAGACCACGGTGCCGCGGGATCGCAGCTCCTCCAGGACCTGCTCGTCAAAGTGTTCGAGATCTTGATATTTACCTTTGGCCTGCGCCTCGCTGTTCCTACCAGAGCCGATCCAGGCGTGATCGCCCTTCGTGCTCTCCAGCGGGGTTTTGCGATCCTCCTGATTGCCTCTGGCACCAGGCCCGTTGTAGTAATCCGCGTCGACACCGTCGTACGCGAGCGAGTCCGCCTTCTGCTGCCTGAGATCTTCTAAAACTTGCGAGTCGCAGTCGTCCTCGTCTTCCTCCTCGTCTCCGTCCTCCTCGTGGGGAAAACCGTCCAGCTTCATTTCCTCCGGATACACGTCGGTCTTGTTGAAACTTACGGTGCTCTCGGGCGACTCGACGCGATGCTTCGTGTTCGGCGAGGCTGTTAGCTGACCGGAGACACTTTTGTAGCGGTAGCTCGGTATAACGATCGATAGACCTGGCAGATTGCGAGGCGACCCGCCGCGGCCAAAGTCGTTCGCGTTCTTCAGCAGCTTCTCGGCGCATTCCGCCTGAGAATCCGGCGATCTGCTCGACGAGGACGCCTTCGAGGGTGGCCTCGCAGGCGGCACGATCGGATTCTTGCCGACCTCAGACGCGTGGTTCCTCATTACGGACACCGAGAGCCCCGGCGTGTTTCTCAGGGCGTCGAGGATCTTCGAGCTGTCGTAATCGAGCTTCAACGGCTCGCCGGGTTCGTCCGGCGCTTCCTCTTCCTCGGTCGGTACGCTCGGCAGCCACGCGACGGTGGAGTCCGAGCCGCATTTCGGTCGGTCGAGGACGAAACCGCCGTCGGCCTCGGCGACTTTGCAGGAATTCGGAGTCAGCTCGGCGTTAGTCTTCAGCGAGAGAAGCCCGAGATTGTCCTCCACCCGGATCTTCTTGTCTTCCATCTCCTCCTGCAGGCAGCAATCCTCCAGGATCTTTTCCTCGTGCACCTCCAGCTTATCGTCGATCTCGTCGTCTTGCTCGACCGCCTCGGTCTCGTAACTCGATATGCTCCTCGTTCGAGCCTTCGTATCGTCGAGCTTCGCGTCCTTGACCTGCTGCCTCTCGGCGCACTGCTTCTCGTCGAGGACCTCCTGGTAAGTCTTGGTGGAGTCCATCGGCAGATCGGCGCTGGGAGTGTCAGCGGCGAGAACGGGCGAGGCCGTGGCGTCTATCATGTTCAATATATCCTGAATACCCGCCTTGTTCATCCGATTCGATTTCTCACTGCTCTCCTCCTCCTCGTCCTCCTCGTCCTCCTCGTCGTCGTCCTCCTCTTCCTCCTCCTCCTCCACCTCCTCGTTGTCCATCTCTTCCTCTCTTTCCTCGTCTTCTTCTTCCGCCACGGCGTTGCCCTCGTCCCGCTCGTTACTTTCCTCTATCCGCCTCGCCTCGCTCGCCGTCGCGTCCTTATTTCTCGTGTGGCGAACGACATTTTGATGCGCGCTCTCCGGCAGTTGCGACAGTTGCAGCAGCTCCAGCACGACGCGCGGCTGGAACAGCTTGTCCATCTGCAATCTCTGCAGGTTGATCCAGCCGTGCAGCCTGTCCTTATTCTTCAAGCCGGACAGACGATCCTTGAGCTTGCCGTGCTCGCGATTCTTACCCTCCTCGCCATTCTTTTCCCCGCCGTCGTCGTCGTTGATCTCGTCGCGCGCTCCCAAAGGGGAGGAGTAGCCACGTCGATTCGTCTCCTCATCGTAATCCCGCAGCTTGTTTCTGCCTGCGCCTTCGCCAGTAAGCAAACCGTTCGTCGCGCCGCTCGACGAATACATTCGCGGATGGCACCGAAGGGAGCTGGCGGTCGCGCCCGCCGGCTCTTGCAGGCACCCCTTGCCGTTCTCCTTCTCGTCGTTGGACGAGACCGAGGAGGCCGACGACGACGCGTCGGCCATGCCCGTCGGCGCCGTCTTCTTGCAAGCGGCGGCGGCGGCGGCTAGGGCGATCGTGTACCCGTTGGACGTGGTGCGCGGTATCGAGCGCCATCCTTGCGCGGTCTTGGTCAGCTTGATGCGATTACGCTTGTCGTAGTCCTCGCATCTCACCTCGACGATCTTCTGCTCGCGCTGCGACGCCCACAGGAAGATCGGGTTGATCTTGGGCCGCTTCTCCTCGGGCTCGTCCCGCGGCGCTTCGTCCCGGACGCGCTTCTGATGCTTCTGATGATGATGGTGGTGGTGATGGTGATGGTGATGATGGCGTCTTTGACGACGGGGCACTGTGCCCCGCGCAGGGGCCCCGCTCATTACTCCATTCAACGAACGGTGAACTCGGTCTCTCTCGTCCGACGGGATCACACTTCCGGTCTCGCGGCCGCCGGTGATCGATCGCTAGCGGACTTCGGCGATGACCGGCGTCGACCGCGTTATCGGATTACCGCAACCAAGCGACACGCGACTTTTATCCCGCGTGCGCGCGCGTGACCCGCCTACGTGTACGACTTGCAATTAGTCTCGTGGCTCACATATTTCCATTGGCGTTCTCGCACGTCGGCGGCGGCGCGTCTCTTGGACGTGATCGCGACCCGGCGCTCGCCCGGCTGCCGTTCCGCGCATCGTAGACACCCGGTAGAAACGATCGCGGCGGCGTGTGGATCGCGCGCGGATTCAATCGCGCCAGACCGAAACCCCGTCCGTTCACCCGGCTCGCTCCCGCGCGATCGATTCTCAAGGCCACCGCGCCATTGTCGACCCGGAACGAAGCTTCCGCCGCCGATCCGGGGACCAGCGCGCGCGCGTCCTGACTCGCGACTCGCTTCTGCCGTTATCGTCCCGACGATTTGGCCGCGGGCTCGTCGACGTCCGCTCGTACGTTCCCGACCCCGGGCTCGGTCGCGCCGTTGACGCCGCTCACGCTCGCGGGGCCGCCGGCGTTCATCCGGCTATCGAACCGTGACACGGCCGACGTCGCGCCGCCGAACAGGGATACGCGAGCGCGGCACGGGCGTCGATCCTCATCGGCGCGTCGACTCGCACGAGCTCGCAACCGCTGACGACGTCGGCCACCGGGCCCGAGCCATCGGGCGGCCGACGCGGTTCCTCCGCCCCGTTGTGGCTTCCCCGTCCGGGGGTGTTTTTTCTTCGAGGAACTCGAGGGACCGATGCCACGAGGAAGGTGAACGCGCGCCGGGACGACGTTCGCGGCGGAGCAGGGAGGGGGGAGGGGAGGAATCGCGGAGAGAATCGAATCGGGGCGCGCACCTCTCGACTTGGCGAACGAGCAACGTGCGACTCGCAGCTCCGTATACGCGTTCCGTCCGCGGCGCGGGAGATTCACTTTATCCTCTTGGCGTCACTCGCGCCCTATTCCACGCGGCGCGAAGAATCCGGAGCACCGCCGCCGCCGCCGCCGCGTCCTGGGATTGTCATCGATGACATAACACACGGTGCGGGCGTCGCAGGTCGCCCACCGGTCCACACACTACACGCGGAGTCGCTGCCTGGGAGCTACTGGCGGCGGCGCGGTGCCTCCTCGTTTCCTTCCTCTACGCCGCCGCGGCCGCGGCGGCGGCCGCCGCCGCCACCGCCGTCGTCCTCGCCGCCCCCGCTCCGCGGGATCGCGACGCAGGTGCGGCTCGAGCGGACGGGCTCTCGATGATAACTCGAGAAGAAACCGCGATCGCATGCTCCTCGATTAGAGAGACTGTCCGATCTATCCGTCCGGTAGGGACTGTCAATTTTCAACGTTTCTTTGTAGTACGAAAATTATTCGCGGCAAACGTCGCATTTCAACTTTTTTAAGCTGAATGGAGTCGTTGGATCTATTCACAGTAGAATCCCTATAATTGCAGATTAGAGGGACTCTGTGTATTCACGGATTGGTTATTTAAAGGAAGGATTAAATATTCTTTGGATCTCACACAGCTGTAAGAATGCACGGGAGATGAAATATTTTGTAACAAAGGATGCACCTCTAATATTATAAGAATGTCTTACGACAGTGGCAGCGTCTTTTCAACGAACGGTATGGTCTGAACCAGAGTTGGGAAAGTTACTTTATAAAAGAATCTAGTTAGTTTTTTTCGCTAAAAATGTAACTAGTTACAGTTATAAGTTGCATAACTTGCAATGAAAGTAAAAATATCAAATCTGCATGTGAATTGTTAAGTGTCAATAAAGGCGTTTATGCGCAAATTCAAGATCTAACGCGATCTATGGAGGTTTAAAAGATATATAAAGTAACTATTAAATTTACTAGTTATCGAAAAAGTGCAACTGAGTTAAGTTACAGATGGAGAGAAAGTAACGAAGTTGAGTTAGATTTACCAAAAAGAAGTAACTGTAACTTCGTTACAAGTTACTTCCCAACCCTGGTCTGAAGTTTTTAAGAAAAGCATCTCTTTTCAAACGCACACGTCTCCGTTGACGTCGGTTGCGCATGCAGTTTACGATTTCGAATGATTCTTTTCGACACACGTGATACCTTCGCTGTAGATCGGAGTGAAATTATTCTGAAACGCAATCGTACCGATTGTGAATGCGGGACTTTGGAACGGGGCGAGATTGCGAATGGCGACGGCACTGGTACGCTCTTATCCCTCGCCCCGAGGCAGCGGGCTCGCGAACGGAGTACCGACCGCGAAGAGAGGAAGAGAGACGGACAGACAGAGTGGCGGAGATAGATAAGGTCCCAGCGAGAGATAGACCGAAAGAGAGAGATAGAGCGAGAGAGAGAGTGAGAGAGGGAGGGAGGGAGGGGAAAAAGAGGGAGAGTGCCTCTGCACTGTGTATGCACGCGTATACAGAGTGTACAGAAGGTAACATCGGCCACAATAGCGCCGATTGATTGCCGAAGGTCGGACGTCGGGAAAAGTTAAGCTTCGGTCGTCGTTAAGCCACGATCGTCTAATCGCCCCGCCCGCGACCCAAAATCCGCCCTCTCTCCTCCCGGGTCCCCCGCCGCGCGGTTTCGAAACCCCCGGCGCATAATGCGTGTGCGTATGCACACGCCTGTACGCTATACAGTGCGGATCGAAGATATCCGAACTGGTTGCGGGGGGCAACGCTCCCCGGTCGTGGCGGAAGCTCTTCGCTGCGTGTCGGAACTCGAAATTTCACGAAATTCAAAGCGGGTGAGATAACGCGCTGGTGGCATATTTATACCTCCGCTATCTGGTTCCCTTTTCTTTTAAAAAATAACGCGAGTCCGTCTCACTTATCGCGAGCGTCAGAGGAGCTTGTATTTTTTTTACTCGATAATTAATGGCGCTCGCATTACCGACACGATAACACAATGCGACATATGCAACTGGACTTCCGAGCGTAACGTAATATATCGAACGAAGAGGCGGATTAAGCGCATCACAGCGCTTTATCGTCGTCTTTATTTATCTTCCTACAGGTTCCCGTGCGTTTTTAGTGCGCGCGCGGCGGCGAGGGAAAAGGCGCGGTCGGGGTAAATTCGAGGTTGATTTCCGCCTCCTCTCGTTCGTGTCCACAAATCGTGCACACGTGTCGCCAACTGCCGAACGCTCCACTCCGGAGTGACCGGCGCGATTCACGGGTGTTGCGCGAGGAAATCTCGTAAAAGGGCGCGCGAAGGGGACAGACTTCTCGGCGCGAGAGCAACGAGGGTGTAGTTTTCGATAGACAAATACCTTCACGCTAAGTGCCTTCAGTGAGGGGGAGCCCGAATCGCATTCACCCCAATACCGGGCGACACGAACGGTTGAGCGAGAGAAAGAGAGAGGGATGAGGTCGGGTTTTCTCGAGTAGGGGAAAGAGCCGCGACGTGGGGCCGAAGGGGAAAATATTTTTATTAAAAAGGGCGCGTGGAGGAGGAAGGGGAGGAGAGGAGGGGGAGAAGGATCATGGCGGTCCCCGGCGAGGCCGCATTAAGCCATATTTCCGTACCTGCGATCGGCGCACGCGAACTGCCCATTAATTGCATTATCGTGTACAAAGGGATTGTAAGAGATGCGATCTCGTGACAGGAAAGCTATTCAGAATACGTTTCGATTGTAGTTATTTAATCGTCGGACAGCTTTTGTATCGGGAAAGAATTGCTAGAGTTTCTCGGGAAAGATCGTACACGCGGAATCCTAGTAGCACAGGAATATTCGTTATATTGGACCAACGTTTAGACAATGCACCGTGCTACTAGGGAAGAAGGTTTAACCATCGTCGTGGTAGAAAAGAAGCCGATAAATTTCATCGATCAACGATGTCTTTTCGCGCGCGCATGAGTTACTCCAGTTTCCGTCTAGAATGACTGCCCAGATAGCACATGACACTCCTATGAACATTTTAAGAATTTTCTTCAAGAATATTTGGAATATTCCATAGGTCATTCTTACACTGACAAACAAATTTTTTTAAACTAAGTAAATAGACTTACTTAAAATTATTTTTTTTACTAAAGTAAATATTTATTCTATTTAAATGAAAATATCAAGTTTCAAGAAAATCTGTGCATTATATTAAGTGAATTAATTTAAATCATTACATTTTCTACATTCAACTAAAGATTTCACGAGATAGAGAATACTATTTATTACATGAAATTATTGTTTTTGTCAAATAAGAAATCCAAGTTTCTTCTCTGTAAATCTTATTATATCTTAGTAAACATTTTATAGAATTAAAGTAAAATTTTTTAAATTTGAAATTGTCTACTGTTTGATATTTCATAAATAAGTACTTAAATTACAGAAATGCATGTTTTAATTTATTTATTATTTTTTCAATTTAAGTTAATAAGCTTAGAAGCCACCTATTGAATAATTTTCTTGAGTAAAGTAATATTTTTTGGATCAAGGTATTTTTTTTATCAGTGTGATATATTTATCTTATGTTCGTGGAACATTCGACTGGCACTACTGTAAATCTTTTTCGAATGTGAATAGAATAATCTATCGAATATAGCGTGTCGATTGTATACGGTACGATCACAGGTTTCACTTCGTTTTGCATAAAATAAGCGTATTACACAAAAAACAATGTGCAATACATAAACTCGATGAATATTAAAAAATTATTCTGAACGAATATTCCAAAGACATTCTCGACGAATATTCTAAGAACGTTCTTCTTATGAATATACGATTTCTAATTGTAATAATCTATACATATTTATAGAATATTCGATTGGAATATTCTGAAATGAAGTATATCTGCACCCCAGAAGAATATTCATAGAACTATGTGTGCTATCTGAGTGTCCTAATCAATCGTCTAGCTCGTATACTGCGTATTTAGGATTGCTGCTGCATCGCAATCGGTACCCTTTGCGTCCCGAGACCCGATAACGCTTGTTGTGTTCATTCGCGCGCGTTTAAGGCTGAGACGAGGCAAAGTGTGCGTTCGCCAAGGTCGGGTGGACCATGTCAGGGCATGGTCACCGCGAAGCGCGCGCACGGGACAGAGGGCCCGACGTCACTGACCGTGGATGCACGCGAGACTCGCGACAGTTTCGCGCGTGACGTCGCGTTTCGGCCCTTCGGCTCGCAAAGAGCCCGCGTTGCCTTGAATCCGGTTCTCGAAACCTTGCGATTGTGCGCCCGCGATCGCACGTACGACACACCGTCGAATGTCTCGACATAAAACGGACA